TTGTCACTGTGGTTTTCATCATGATTAGCTCTAAGAAGACACACACAGTGTTTGCACTAATTTCAGGTGTCTGCTTTTCTCAGTGAGTTGAGTATTTTGGAGTTGGTTCCAGTCTCTTCAACCCCTGCCGACCTAGCTGTCTAGGGGTCCAGCTTCTTTACTACATAAATTTCTCTATCTTTCTTTGCCTTGTGGATTAGGGTAATCACACTGCCCTGTCTGACACATTGTTGGGGGCAAAAACCAAACAAACCACCACTTAAAAAATGTGAGGCACTTGGTAGGGACTTAGAAAGGCTAACACAGCACCCTTGATAGGACTGAAGAAGTTGTAGTTGTTCAGGAGACCACTGTTGTTACTTCTTAGAGCAATTCATCCAAAGTCTACAGACCTTTTTTTCTCCCCACAAGTGTTTATTTGCTGTGCAGACAACCAACTTCCCAAAGAGTCCCACTTGGCAACTGGTGTTTTTCAAAAGTGCAGTTTGATTCTTGATTTAAACTGCTCTAAATTCAGACCCCTGAAAAAGAGAAGATCCCATCATGTCTTGACACTTTCTCTGTCCCAGCACTGTTGATACTGGTTCTTTATACTGAGCTGGCTCTGGAAGCTGATCTGGCTGAAAACTCTCCCAGCCAAAGTGGCAGGAGGGAAGCAATTTTCAGTTGGTTTGTCAAACTGCATCTGAAATGGCAATACAGGTTCCGGCTACAAAACGTATTGCTGGGGTTGTCTACTTATCACCAGCTTTGCATCATTAAGTGTCATGCATTCTTGGCCTGATACAACTGCAGCAGATTGCGCACATGAACTGTTAATTATTTTATTTTTAAAACAGAAATTGCAGAACAGGAAAATAACATTCCAGCATGTTTGCTTTTGGAACTAGCCTACCACGACAGTCTGCTAGCTTGATAATGGTTAAACTCACAAGCCCTTGCCTCAACGAGGGTGCAGTAGGGTACCATTAAGGCAGCCATCTGTTGAACATATATACTGGAGGCACGAACTGCCTCGCGTTTTGGGTTTCTGACTAGCTATAACGCAGTCGTGCTCTCTGGATGCCACTGATGGGCACTGAAAAATGCATGGAAAGATCAGAGTTCAGTGAAAGGTGAGCATCCAAAATTGGGATTGATGACTGGGAGCCCATCAGATGAGCACTAGGTATGGAGGAGGGAAGAGGTGAAACCTTGTGGGCGTACACATGCTGATAGTAAATGCTACACTGAGGCAAGAGTCCGAGCCGCTTGAGTTGCTTAGCAATTCAATAGATCTGTAAAACTCCATTTGCAGACCAAGGCTACCATTATGTTGGATTGATTCATCAGGATGAGCAGCTAAAAGAAGTTAAATTCTATCAGAGTTTTCCTGCATTAATTTAAAAATGAATTTAGTTGGCTCTAAATGGACATTTGTTTTAGTATCTTGAAGAACTGACTTTCCTCTATTAAAGCAGAATAATGTATCTATATGGTGCCCTAACTTGAACAGTACATAAAGATTAGTAAATAAGACCCCATTAAAAATACTTATAATGTAAGTAACATGGGTCCCAATAGCCTTTCTAATGTCCATTAATGCTTATTCTGAGGATCAGAGCTCATTTTACTGAGCCATTTAGTCAAACCGTGTGATTATTTAGAAAGTTAATTCATGCATACTAAAATCTAGCTTAAGTAATGCAGAGGGTAGGAGGTAAAACTCTATGGAGACGATAGTCCTTTTTGTTATTTAATGATCAGCCATAATTAACTTGCAAATTTGAAATAATTAGAACAAATTAAAGGTATTTAACTTTGCCTCCCTAAAGAAAAATTCAAATTGCACCAAATGCAGCTTTAAATTATTCAAGTCTCAGAGGTCTGTGCAGGGTTTTTTTACAATGCCTTTTCTATGATGAGAATACCAATCTGCTTTTTGTCAGAAAGCATCCTATCAAGTAATTGTTCTTTGTGTCTAATAAATGACAGCTATTCTTCTTTGTAAAAGTATTTGAGTCTCTGAAGACTACATCAGCATTTCCATGGCATTTTAATTCAATAAAACAAAAGGTTAATGTTTTTCTACTTTTTAAGGAATGCAAATACTAGCAGTATTCAGTGGGTCCTGAATGACATTTAAAATTTGCCATTCATGCTCAGCAGGGATATCGCGATATGAGGCTCAGACTGAGTGGAAACAAATGCTCAAGGTGTGTTGT